AAATGCAATAGCTGAAAGAACTGTGCTGATTTATAGACAGGGTCAACCCCCCCCCCCCCCAATGAAAGGAGGGGGGTGGATTCCAGTATTTAATCTATAGTTTTGCTATGATGGTAGACATCATCAAAGACATTTTAAGTATACGAACTGCATGTATAAACATATTTGAATTTCCATTTTAAATTGTTTTCCGTGGCGTTCATTATTTTTTAGGAAGCAATTCTTTTCTTTCCTAATAACACTAAAATGGATGCTCAAACATAGAAATTGAATTAAATATACATGCAGTACCCCCCCCCCCCCCTTCCACATCATGCATTGCCTCAAAATGCACAACTGAAAACTGTTATTTAATAATATTTAAAAACAATCTAACACAAAGTCTACCTTCCTTTTATTCATCATAATCTACATCATTTTTATAGAATTTAACGTGTTTTTAGTTTCCATGTTGGCTTTTGTTCATTTACCGGTAGGCCTATGAGATGAACTTTCTCTGACGTCTGCGCCGAAGAGAGTTTATTGGAGATCATTGCAATGATCACGATGCAGACTAGCTAAAATTTACTCTATGTATTATTGCAGCCCGGAGGACCGGGCTGCTCTATACATATAAGTTTAAGTGTTGGTATATGGGGATTGGGGTGGGAGTAGTTATTCAAAATTAAAGGTTTTCTAAACATTGAAAAGATTGTTAATCAGAATGTTCTTTCCCTTTATAAATTACGAGATACATAATATATTTACTTCCATAAAGTGATTCTCTAAAAATAGATATGTTTTTCACATTTAATATATAAAGTTGTTTATCATTTACTATCGAAAAAACGACAGGTCCCCTTTTTTAGATCATCGAATTTTACTTCTCGCATAAAAACGTACTATGCACACTTCGTGTTTTATATTCTAAAATTGAAAATTAAATACATTTTTGAATATAGGTGATGCATGTGTCTACCTTCAATTTATATTTTATGCAGCCAACATTTACTCGAGGAATTGAAGTTTAAAATGGATCGTTTTTGTTTGACATTTATCCGACTATAAGTTTTCCAAATATTCGCGACTATCGTCTCATCAATTAGACGCATGCCTTTTCACACGTATCGAAGCGGTTTGATGATCAAAGGTCATTTCCATTGTTTACTTTATATATTTCCCGGGCGACAATTGATGGTTACATCAATGTTTTCTTGTTATTTATTGTGTACAGCATTACGTTACAAATAAGAAAGCGAATATTACAAGAATTTAACTTTTCTTACATTGGCATTTATTACATGAAAGGAACACAACATGATGGATAGATCAAATCATAAACCATTACAAAACAAGAAAGAAACTTTCTGTATTCCAGTGGCTGACCCTCAAGCTTTTTAAAAAGCTAACCTTGTAAATCTTGTATCTTGCATACGAGTTGATTGTACGTACGAGTTGACTTTGTACAAGGTCTGTGTACGAGTTATTGTGTGTACAAGTTATCTAAATCAATATGGAAGTAGTGAAAAATTGTAGACCGAAACGCTTGGAGTTTATCTTCATCATGTGACTGTCTGTTGTCACTGTCAGGATATTGGTCTGAGAGAAAGCTGTCGAAGTTAAAAAGCAGAATTTCTCTGTGGATTTCGAAGATTATATGTAAACACAATACAAGCACAATTATCTTTATTAACAGATTAACAGGTCCAGTCCAAAGACTATTTTTACGGTCTACGTAGGTATTGATAGCTACCTAGGTATTTAAAGTTACCCAAAGTAGCTATTTTTACCTACTTTCTGCTGTACTTGCATTTTGTGGCCAGATGCAGGATCGGCGCAACATGGTGAGCACAAAATTTCTTGATACAGTCACACTGATGATAAATATGACAAAAATTTGGCCAAAAATGATTACTTCGTATATTATCAATTTTGCATAGAAACTAATGAAAAATTGCCAGTTTAGGAAGTAATCATTTTTTGGCAAAAATTTTGTCGCATTCATCGTTAGTTTGTCCGTATCAAAAAATACGGTTTTTACCATGTTGCGCGGTTTAGTCGTTTGGCCGCAAAATGCAGAAAATATATAAAGTAGGTAAAAATAGCTACTTCGGGTAGCTTTAAATACCTAGGTAGCTATTAATAGCTACGTAGGTAGAAATAGTCTTTGGACTCCGACTGGACCTGATTAAGTTTCATTAAGATTAGTTAGACATGTAGAATAATCTATAACCAGGTCCGGCACAATGTCTTGATTAAGCTATATAGCTTGATTTAGCTATATAGATTTATTAAGCTATTCGGAATAGCTTGATTAAGCTATATTGTTACAATTTTTTCTCAAATGTTTTATTTTTTCAGCATGTGCAAAAAGTCGCACCTTGGTGCAGTGTAAATATTAAACTCTGAACTCTTCTGAATACAATGCATGTAAAAATCACTCACCAAATTGCGTCTTCTTGAGAGACTTTGTACTCAAATTTTTTAAAGTTTGAGGGGCTATTGATGAGTGACCACACAGTTATTTCTTGAATGAAATTATAAAGGAGGTCAGTTATAGCCAACAAGATAATTGATTGGTAACAGTTCAACACAATGAGAAGCAATCATACTTATCCACGCCTCACCGCACTCAATAGGACACTTTCCACCAGTGCAGTTACCCAAACAATGGAAATTCATCCTTTGCTTAAAAGTATTCTACAACAGCAATGTTAAAACTTTCTGTGATTTAGGTTGTTTTTTTGAAGCCCAAAGTACATATATGAATAGTCAAATACTTGCGACTTTTTGTTTATATCTCACTAAAAACGTTTTTGTAAAAAACTGCATATAAATAGCTTTATTAAGCTATTTTAAATAGCTTAATAAAGCTATATAGCTTTATAAAGCTATATAGCTTAATCAAGACATTGTGCTGGACCTGATAACTGTGTCTATTAATAATTAGTAATATTTTGAGAAACGGCACCTTTTTGTGCGCCGTAAATAATATACAGCATTTTCAATAGGTGGCACTTTAAATAGCTCTACGGTCTGTCAATATTTTTTCTGAGAGCTAGTATAAGCGCTCTCCATGTAATTCTGTAAATGAACAAAGATAAGTATATAAAGGTCTACCCCCTCCAGAATCAGAAAGCTAACAATTTCATTTTATAGTATAGAGGGGTAGACCTATATACAGTTATCTTTCATCATTTACAGAAGTACATGGGGAGCACCTATGAGAGCTATAGACTAGTTCTGGAGCTACACAGGAGTTGGCCGATTTATCCATAAAGCAACGTAAACAACATCCAGTGAGCTAAGGGACAGAATGGCAATGCATTTATGGCGATTTGTGCTCTGGCACTTTATTTTAATAAAACTTAACTTCAACAAATGGTTTAATTCATGTCAGTCGATGTTTCTTACATTGAACAGAAATCAACTGATGAGAGTAAACATAAATTATGCAAGCAATGTGTATTATTTTTGATACAGTGAAATAATTTTAAGATGCATGCATTTTCAGAAATTGAAGATGACAGAAAACATGAGCTCATCAAAGACATTATTGAAAAACCATATTCGCCATGCAACAAGTCATAATAAGGTAAATGAAAAAAAACATAATAATGTAAATAGTTTCTTTAAATATGTTAAAAGTCTCAACTACCTTTCAGTGTATATTGTCAACCCTTGTAAAATAAAATCACATTATTTATTATTTTAATGCTTCTTTTTACTGAAACAGGCCTTGACAAAATAAAAATTAGGTCTTTAGTACAGCGTTTGAAATGATCGTGAACCCGATTGCCCGAAACGCATAAATTTTGTCCTTGGCAAACAGATTTGCAAGTATTTATGCCCAGATGGATGTGTAAAATTCTGGGATCGAATGAATAGTGAGCTGGCCCCATTCACACTGACATTATTGCTATAGAAGACAATTATTTTTTTCAGGCTAGTAGATTTTTGGGAGAGCTGACAACTTTCACTAGCAATCAGTCCTGCATGTCTAGCTAATATTACAGTGAGTTTCAAACACTGCTTTAGAATATAATATTTACATCCATGGAATACTTTCTCCTTTATTACTTAAGAAAACCCATTGCCATTAATCAGTGCATGAACAACCCTAGGCATATCACCTGTACAGATTTCTTGATCAGTGGCTGTTCCATCAATGAAATGTACAAAGACGTAGATATTATTAATACTATAATTAATCTTTTTAATCCTACTTTAAATGATTATTTAAACAGATATAAATATAAACAATAAATTGTCTTTCTTTGGTTTTTAGTATGGAAATGAATGTCGCAGCCATGGCATAAAAATTTACATATCCCCCTTACACGGATTGTGTATTTTTTTCTGCAACAGCTGTGACATTTATTACCACTCTAACAACCAAAGAAAGCATTTTATTGTTTAAGCAAACTTTTCCTACGGTACTTACATTTTTAGGGGGTTCATATTTATGCATGGTTTTCAAATTTATATTATGTTTAGAGTTTTTGAGATCGATCATAGTTCATTATCTTCACCTTTTTAGTTCACCTGAGTCACTCAGGTGACCTTTTTAGCTCACCTGAGCCAAAGGCTCAAGTGAGCTTTTCTGATCACAATCTGTCCGTTGTCTGTCGTCGTCGTCGTTGTTGTCGTTGTTGTCGTCGTTGTCGTCGTCGTCGTCGTAAACTTTTCACATTTTCATCTTCTTCTCAAGAACCACTGGGCCGATTTCAACCAAACTTCGCACAAAGTATCCTTGGGTGAAGGGAATTCAAGTTTGTTCAAATGAAGGGTCACGCCCTTTTCCAAGGGGAGATAATCATGAATTTGTTAAAAATTAATGGCATTTTTAAAAAATCTTCTTCTCCAGAACCGCTGGGCCAGGAAAGATGAAACTCATGTGGAAGCATCCTCAGGTAGTGTAGATTCAAGTTTGTTCAAATCATGACCCCCGGGGCAAGGGTGGGGCCAAAATGGCCGACCCTAGTTTTACATAGGAATATATAGGAAATATCTTTTAAAATCTTCTTCTCAAGAACCACTGGGCCAGGAAAGATGAAACTCATGTGGAAGCATCCTCAGGTAGTGTAGATTCAAGTTTGTTCAAATCATGACCCCCGGGGCAAGGGTGGGGCCAAAATGGCCGACCCAAGTTTTACATAGGAATATATAGGAAAAAACTTTAAAAATCTTCTTCTCAAGAACCACTGGGCCAGGAAAGATGAAACTCATGTGGAAGCATCCTCAGGTAGTGTAGATTCAAATTTGTTCAAATCATGACCCCCGGGGCAAGGGTGGGGCCAAAATGGCCGACCCTAGTTTTACATAGGAATGTATAGGAAAAATCTTTAAAAATCTTCTTCTCAAGAACCACTAGTACAGAAAAGATGAAACTCAAGGGGAATCATCCGCAGGTAGTGTAGATTCAAGTTTGTTCAAATCATGACCCTCGGGGCAAGGATAGGGCCAAAATGGCCAACCCAAGTTTTACATAGGAATATATAGGAAAAATCTTTAAAAATCTTCTCCTCAAGAACCACTGGGCCAGGAAAGATGAAACTCATGTGGAATCATCCCCAGGTAGTGTAGATTCAAATTTGTTCAAATCATGACCCCCGGGGCAAGGGTGGGGCCAAAATGGCCGACCCTAGTTTTACATAGGAATATATAGGAAAAATCTTTAAAAATCTTCTTCTCAAGAACCACAAAGACAGGAAAGATGAAACTCAAGTGGAATCATCCACAGGTAGTGTAGATTCAAGTTTCTTCAAATCATGACCCCCGGGGGCAAGGGTGGGGCCAAAATGGCCGACCCTAGTTTCACATAGGAATATATAGGAAAAATCTTTAAAAATCTTCTTCTTAAGAACCACTGGGCCAGGGAAGATGAAACTCATGTGGAATTATCCACAGGTAGTGCAGATTCAAGTTTGTTCAAATCATGACCCCCGGGGCAAGGGTGGGGCCAAAATGGCCGAGCCAAGTTTTACATAGGAATATATAGGAAATATCTCTAAAAATCCTTCTCAAGAACCACTGGGCCAGGAAAGATGAAACTCATGTGGAATTATCCTCAGGTAGTGTAGATTCAAGTTTGTTCAAATCATGACCCCCGGGGCTAGGGTGGGGCCAAAATGGCTGTCCCAAGTTTTACATAGGGATATATAGGGAAACCTTTTAAAATCTCCTTTTCAAGTACTTCAAAGCTATGATTAGTGATATTTATATGGAATCATCCTCAGGTAGTGTGGATTCTAGTTTGTTCAAATGATGAAGGCCTGGAAAGGGGGGGGGGTAAATTCAAGCCCGATGTGCTCAGGTGAGCGCTGTGGCCCCTGGGCCTCTTGTTCAATCTGTTTTTGTTTGACATCTGAATAATTGAATATTTTCAGCTACTTCTCTGTAACCGCTGAACCAATTTCAGCCAATTTTAGCATATGGCATATAGAGGTGAAGGGAAACAAAACTTTTGAATTTTTTGATCTTTGCCCCCTGTCCAGGGACCTGAGGGGTGGGGCATAAACCATCAAAATTAATGCCATCTTTAAAAATCTTTTTTCCTGAATGTTAAGCAGTCAAACTGTTGGTATGATTGTTACAAGCATTGAGCCTACTACCAAAATTGTGAAATTCAAGACCCCTGGTCAGTGCTGGGGTGGGGTTAGATAGATTATATAGTGAAAGTGCATTATTTCTTTGAAGATCTTCTTCTCTGCTCTTGGGTATTAAACAAACAAACTACATACATAGTTATGATGAGGAAGGATGTATCTTCTAATATTGTGAATTTCATGGTCCGTGGGTCAGAGGTTCTGTTGTTAGGACGGGGCTCTATTGTTTATATAGTGAAAATGCATTAATTCTTTGGAAATCTCCTCAGCTCCTGGGTATTAAGCAGATGGAATACCTTCATACTGTAAAATTCAATATTTTTGTGGGGTCAAATTTTCAAAATTTGAGGAGAAAATACCTTATAAGTGAACATTTTAGTGAGACACAAATTTTGTGATTTGTCCTTAAATATGGGAATTTTATTTTAAGCGAGAAGTAATTTTAGCGATATTAAAAAGCTCACTAAAGAGGCCATGACAACTAAAAACACAATTAAGGAGGAATGCCACACCAACTTTTTATTTTATAGATCTTTGAGTCATCCTTTTTAAACAAGGGTTTCAGCATTGAAAGGCCGACATTAGCTCTCAATTATTTTATATGAATTTTTTTGCATTTTTTTCAAAGAAAATGGAAAAATTTATTTACATCAAAATAAGACACTTTCTTGTAAAAATTTTGCTGTAAATGAATGCATCACATTAATATCTAATAAAATATGTGAAGAAAAGTTGATAGATATTAAAAATTTTTAAATAAAAAAATATTTATGAAAATAAAACACATAATTTGTGAATATTTTTTAAACTTGTGGTTAAAATCTTCTTAAAACCAGTCACAACTGGGGAGAACATGTTCATTAATCATATTTATAAAAGAAATTGAAACAAAATAGCGAAGTTTTAGAGAAATTATTTTTTTTTATTTTGGCCAATCCTGATCAAAATTAAACAGATCCCAACCATAATTGTACAAGTATTGGAAATGAATAACATTTCCCCAAGAACACTAGTCTGATTAGGTGTAATAAGGGTTAAAACATTATTGAACTTGACAATAAAATAGATTTCTTCATTGTAAATACACGAAGAGGCAATAAATTAGTAGTTTATTCATTTTGTGTTAATTTTGATCGGGATCAGTTTAATTTTGATCGGGTTAGGTCCAAATATTAAAAAAAATTAATTTCTCTAAAATTTCTCAATTTCGTTTCAATTTCTTTTTAAAATATGATTGACAAACATGTTCTCCTCAGTTGTGACTAGTTTTATGGTGTTTTTAACCATAGGTTTAAAAAATATTCACAAATGATTTTTTTATTTTCATAAATAATTTTTTATAAAAGAATTTAAAAAGTCTGACCAGCCTTTCTTCACATATTTTATTAGATGTTAATATGATACATTCATTTACAGCAAAATTATAACTCGAAAGCATCTTAATTGGATATAATTAATTTTTTTCATTTCCTTTGAAAAAATACAAAAAAATTCATATAAAATAATTAAGAGCTTATATTGACCTTTCAGTGCTTAAACCCTTGTTTAAAAAGGATGACTCAAAGATCTATAAAATAAAAAATTGGTGTGGCATTCCACCTTAATTTTTAGTGATTTTCAATTTTAGAGATCTTAGCATCATCACTAATAATACCAAAATTAAATCCTTGCTAAAAATTCTGCTTATACGCAGTCTATCCCAAAAGCACCGGTCCGTCGGACAAAACAGGTGAAAATCTGATTGGTCCGATGCACTATCTAGTAAAATCGGTCCGATTGTCCGAGGTTCGTTTTGGTGGATTTTAAATTTTATATTTCTATTTCATCATATAGACGCTTAATCTTATACCAAAACACACTTTTAAAAACATATTGTATTTGTTGATTGTGATTGTTTTAAAACCTGCTAAAAAAATTTGTTTGTTTCCTGTAACCCGAACGACCCATTCATATTATCCCCGAGTGGATTTTTTTTATGACAATTGGAAAAAATGCGTTTGATCAATCAGCCGATTCCATTTATTTAAAAAAAAAATTAACTTGTAGCTTTTAATAACTTGAGACACAAAATATGTCAATATAGTTTACAAATTACCTTAAATATAAAGAGTAATCATTATTGTAACAACAATTTCCCCCTACAACTTTGTGAAGTTCGCTTAATACATGTTTACTGATTCAAATGCTATGAAAAAACATCGTTATGATCATTATATGAAAAAGTTTTGGACCGGTGAAAATTCGTTTGGTCCTGTGAAATTGTGTTAACTGTCTGTCCGAATGTCCTGTGGCGATTTTTCTTTTTCGCGAAGACTGTTATACGGTATTGGCATGTGGGGACTTGATTTTGTGGTTGGAGAATGCTTAGTATAAATGCAAATGGAATTTTAATTTTCCTGGTGGTCATGAATTCATGGGTCTCTCCATGCCACAAAAAAACACAACAAAAATTGAAACCCTATTAAATAATTGAATTTACAGAAGTTATGATGAGCAAGGATTCTCCTTCCAGATTATAAATTTCAAGGCTCCATGGGTTAGAGGGTAGGAGGGGGGGGGGCTCTTATGATTATAGAATAAAAATGAATGATTGATTGATTGTATACTGTTTAACGTCCCTCTCCAGAATATTTCACTGATACGGAGACGTCACCATTGCCGGTGAAGGGCTGCAAATTTAGGCCTATGCTCGGCACTCAGGGCCTTTGAGCAGGGAGGGATCTTTATCGTGCCACACCTGCTGTGACACGGGGCCTCGGTTTATACGGTCTCATCCGAAGGACCGCCCCATTTAGTCACCTTTTACGACAAGCAAGGGGGTACTGAGGACCTATTCTAACCCGGGTCCCCACGGGGCTAAAAATGAATGAGGGCTTTGAAATCTGCTCCTTGGTATTAATTAAACAATTATGATGAACAAGGATGCCTTTTCCAAAAATTGTGAAAAGAGTTGCTCCAGGGTCAGGGGTTCCTGTGGGTTGAGGGCACTATTAATTATTACTGATTATTACTGATTAATTGAAATGCATTTTCTTTGTTCCTTTAAACTTAGTTTATACATGTAGTTATGGTGAGCAAAGGTGTCTCTTTCAAAATTACGAATATCATGGGCTCTGCATGGTTTGAAAACACAAACCAAATTCAATTGTTGGAAAGCTGTTACATGATGCTCAGGTGACCTATAAGGCCCATGAACCTCTTGTTCATTGGAAGAGAGAGTCAAGTAGGTGGTTACCAGAACAATAAAGATTGACTTCCTGATTTTTTCCTAGCTACAGATCTGCTATTTTTTCCATACTTTGCTCTGTATACAATTATACATACACTATAATTGTTCAAACATTGTTCAAACATTTTTGATTATAGATAGTTGAAGAATCTCTAATGTGGAGGCAGTATGAGATGATGAATGCTGAAAAATGTCAAGAAACTTCAAGGAAGTCAAAATACTCAAAGGACGAACCCCATAAACAAGAGAGACAAAAAAGTTCCAGAGACAGATTTTCTACACCAAGTGAAAGAAGTTCATCATTAGATCAATCCAAGCCCTCATTTTACTGGACAAAAGAGTTACAGAGAGCAAAGGAAGCCATTCCAGACAGGTATATACTGTAAATAAGGATAAGTATTCACACTTCCAACTGTTTTTTAAATGATAACTTTTTGAAAGATTAGTGCATTGATTTCTCAATATGTACTACTGAGTGTAAGTTTCACCAAGATGAAGGTCAATGCCTAATATGCATGTCAATATCCAGGCCTGTCATTGTGTCTGGAGAAGGCAGGGACTGTGGAAATTAACAAGGAATATTTTTGTACAATATTTCAATTATATTAAACAACATATTTTGCCTCCATAATGAAAGATTAGGGGGAACAAAATTTTTGTCCTATCCATTTGTCTGTCTGCCTGGTAATCTCTCTGTTTGTCTGTAAACTTGACAATAACTTTTGATTGGTTGGAGCTATGACTTTCATATTTCACAAGTACATTCCTTAATTGTGGCAAGACCTTTTTTTTTGGATTTAAACATAATTGAACTCTGACCTTGCAATTTGACCCACATTTGCTAAATTTTACTATGCTTCAACCTTGGCTTTAAGTTTTGAACTGTTGCTGCTTTGGTTTTTCATACCTGATTTTTTTGTTTACCTTGTGATAACACCTTTCCTTCAATTTACAAATATTTTTATTCATTAGGGCCCCGCAAGGATTTGCAGGTGCCCTATAGTAATCACTCTGTCTGTCTGTCCGTCCAGCTGTCTGTCTGTCATTCCTTCATCCACAAATTTTCTAATTTTTTCCTAATAACATTTTTTATGGTTGCCTAATCAAGTTCAAATTTGGTATGGTAGTTCAGTAGGCAGAAATACATATTTTGATGCTAAGTTTGTTTCTCTATGTCTTCTGGTTTGGAGCTGGGATGGTGGGGTAGATTCCTTAACTATGCATAAGAATGAATGGGCAAAGAGAGATAACTGCTGAGAATGTTACCATTGTAAACTGGGAAGGCTGTGCAATTTGTCCTTTGGGATTAATTAACCTTCCACATGAAGAAAATTCTAAGCATTATCTTTATCTGTCACATTCAGATTAATTACTGTACCGCCTCTGTCTGCAAATAAACTTTGTTTTGAAGTTAAGGTCAATTTTCAATTGAATGATGTGTACATTCTCTGAAATATGAATTTAAGATAATATTCATACTTTATTTTGGTTAAAATACTGTACACAATGATTTATGATAATTTTATTGAATTCTAAAATCAAGATATATATTAAAATATGCTTTTTAGGTCACCCGAGTAAACTTGGGTGACCTATTGCTATCCGTTTTCGTCCGTCGTCGTTTGTCGTCAGTCATGCGTTAAAATTTGAACATTTTCAGCTTCTTCTCTGAAACCACTCAACCAATTTCAACCAATTTTGGCACAAAGCATCTATGGGTGAAGGGGAACAAAAATTGTGAATTTCATGGCCTCTGCCCCCCTTGGGCCTGGGGGATGGGGCCAAAACCACTAAAATTACTGCAATCTTTAAAAATCTTCTTTACTCCTGGACATCAAGCAGTCAAACTGTTGGCATGATTGTTATCAGCATTGAGTCCTCTACCAAAATTGTGAAATTTATGGCCCCAGGGTCAGGGGTTCTTGTGCTAGGGTGGGGCTATATTGATTATATATTGAAAATGCATTATTTCTTTGAAAATCTTCTTCTCTTCTCCTGGGTTTCAAATAAACTAATTAAGTACACAGTTATAATGAGCAAGAGTGCCTCTACCAAAATTGTGAATTTTATGGCCCCAGGGTCAGGGGTTCTGGTGTTAGGGCGGGGCTCTATTGATTATATAGTGAAAATGCATTAATTCTTTGAAAATCTTCTTCTCTGCTCCTGGGTTTCAAATAAACTAAGTAAGTACATGCTTATGATAAGTAAGGATATCTCTTCTAAAATTGTGAATTTTAAGGCCCCAGGGTCAGGGGTTCTGGTGTTAGGGTGGGGCTATATTGATTATATAGTGAAAAATGCATTAATTCTTTGAAATCTTTTTCTGTACTCATAGGTATTAAGTAAACTAACTAAGTACATAGCTATGATGAGCAAGAATGCTTCTACCAAAAATTATGAATTCCATGGCCCTAGGGTCAGGGATTCTGGTGTTGGGATGGGGCTCTATAATGATTATGTAGTGAAAATGCATTAATTAGGTCTTTCCACCTTTCTGTGGAAAGACCTCTTGAAATGCTTCTGTTTATTAGGTCTTTCCACCTTTCCGGGGGAAAGACCTCTTGAAATGCTTATGTTTATTATTATTATTATTATTATTATTTTTCCGCTACGGACTTTTGATCAGAAAGACTTATCGAAAAACTTTTTAGGTCATGATACTCGACATCAAAAGTTATTTCGAAAAACAACCCAACGTATATGACCTATGTCCCCTTTCGGAGTTCTCCCCCTTTGTGCGAAAAACCGTTATTATCGCTACTCCTCCGAAACCGTAAACCGTAGAGATACAAAACCTTCAACAATGTCTACGACTACTTTAGGAGACTCTTGAATCTATTCATTGCGAAAGGATTTGTAAACCCCTACAATGAATTATTGCCCCTGAATGTTTTCGATGTTTACGATTATCAAGATCTTTTCTTAAACGACAAGGCGTAGAGACATGGGGCCAACTGCAAAAGATTCATTGACATTTGACCTTGAAATTTAGGTCAAGGTCAAAGGTCAAGGTCATTCAAAATTTGTAAAATTAAGCATTTTTTATAGCTCTTTTGTTCTTCACCAACTTTTAAATATCTTTGCATCTTCAATATGTACTCTTAAAACCATTTCAGGGATTTCATGCTTGTCCCCTAAGATTGACCCCTCTAAAAGTTAGTGCCCCTTCCAGTGTAAACCCTTGTTATCGCTACTCCTCCGAAACCGTAAACCCCAGAGATACAAAACCTTCAACAATGTCTACGACTAATTTAGTACACTCTTGAATCTATTCATTGCAAAAGGATTCGTCAACCATTTTAAGTAGTTATTGCCCCTTACAGATTCTGATGTTTTCGAAGAACTAAAAACTTTTTAACGACAAGCCGTAAAGACATTTGGACAATGCATGAGATATTTTGACCTTGAAGATTAGGTCAAGGTCAAAGGTCATGGTCATTGGAAAAATGTTAAAAATTGTTTATATATGCTTTGGAGGGAATTTGACCTTGACACTTGACTTTCATATCTGACCTTGACCTTTGACCTTGACCCAAAAGTTAAATGATATATTCATTACCTTTACCTAGATTCAGCTTCAAGTTTTAAACTCAAGTTCATAAGTTTTTTTTTTTGATGACCTTGACCTTTGACCTTGATAAATGACTTTGACCTTTGACCCCCTATTGACCCAAAGGTCTCAATCAAGCTTAAGGTCAATGAGGTATTTGTAACTCTTACTCTAACAAATGCTTATATCTCTCTCCCCCCCCCCCTTTCCTTAAAAAAAAAAAAAAAACCAGAAGCAGCATAGAGAAAATGTCTACAAGTCAAAAGTCACGATATATTGACATAAGATTCGGAGTAAAAGCAAGAAGATACCTTAAAGAAAGTGTCCTGAGAGTTTTAAGGTGAGTCTCTAAAATATTATGAAATTCTAGTGAAAATCGGCAAAATCTGCATTTTTTTCTGTCTGAAATTTAGTTAATTGCTGAGCATAAAAATTAATTAAAGCCCGTATTGGCTATTTCTGCAACTGTTGTTAATATCATTCGATTCTCCTGCTCTATTACGACATTTAAATGCCAAGTATTCTTGCGTTCTTTAGTGTATGGAATTTATTTCAATTTTATTTGGATTTAATATTAATGGAATGAATCTTGATTTCATCTGAAATTAGATTTTTTTTTCCCCCTAGAACATGTAGAATAACACAATCCCAAGAAATAGCGACTTTCAGCATAGTAAAAAGAAACACACGTTTCTTCCTTGTGTTTTCCATCTAGAATTACATGTTTAGAATTTTATTTATGCTACTTACAATGAATTTCATGCCTATTTCGGTCAGGAATGTTCATATCCGAACCCGATTCTCTGTTTTCCTTTTCCATAATTACAAACTGTCTTGCATCTCTCGCTCATCTTTCTCACATGCTCTTAAATAATTTATCGCCATCCATTTCAAACATAAAACAACTCATATCGGATATTTTCAAACATCTCTTTAATACATGTATAATGCACATATGATGCAGGTAACACATGGGACATTTCACAACGTTTTCACTTACGCTTCCGTCTTGATGCGCAGATCAAATGCATGTTATTCATATTAATAGGTATATCATAATTTTAATCAGACCCTACCTCTTACATCTTAACTTGAAAACAATCTCATTCAAGCTCATATATACACCTAGGAGCGTGTTACAATGTTTTTTTTTTGTGCTCTCTTTGTGTGATCAATGAATTCGTGCTTATCCCCGAGTCGACAACAAACAATCTAGGAAGTCTGTTTAGGGTAAAATTATACCAACTGCGAGCCCGATCTAAAATCCTAGTAGAGAAATGAGAATTTTGCTGTTTTATTTATTTTCTTGCTTTTTTCCTACTTTTTTCAGCCCAAATGATATTGAAACACTTAAAAAGGTGGAAAGACGTCTCATTGTTCTCTGAACAATTAGTTTACTAGTGTTTATTAGGTCTTTCCACCTTTCCGGGGGAAAGACCTCTTGAAATGCTTATGTTTATTATTATTATTAGGTCTTTCCACCTTTCTGTGGAAAGACCTATTGATTTCCTTCTGTTTCTTCTTTTTTATTATTTTTCCGCCGTGTGATTTTTTGTTTCAAGATTTATCGAAAAGATTTATAGTCCGTAAGAATGTACTCCGTAAAAGATTATTGCAGTTCACCCTGCGTAAATGAACCTTGACCGCTTTCGAAGTTATTGCCCCTTTCGAAAGAAATGCTTGTTATCGCTATTCCTTCGAAACCGTAAACCATAGAAGTATGAAACCTTCACCAATGTCTTCGACTAATTAAGGAGATTCTTCAATCTATTCATTGCGAAAGCATTCGGTGACCCCTTCAATGAGTTATTGCCCCTGAAACT